ACATATACATGTACATATATATATATATATATATAAATACAATATATATATATATATTATTTCATTTCCATTTTGTATGTTGAAGTACTGAAATAACTCAAATTAAATAAAACTAAAACTTAATAAAAAAACCTATATAGACATAATAAAAAACGAATAAAATGACAACATTACTACAACTGTAACTAAAACTAAAATAGATAACTAATACAAATCAAACTACATTAGTTTATCAGTAATCCTAAAAAAAATAACACCGAGCCAAACACACATGCTAAAATAACAACAACTTACTGACACACAGTAAGAAATGGTTATAAAAAACTGAAACAGAAGTGAAACAAGTAGTAGGAAAGAGGAGATATTTGCACCTGCATTGTTTGCCTGGAGTTCTCTATGGCATGCACATGACATTAGTAGTGTATCTGAATATATAGTGGGCTATTAAATTCCGGTCCACCCCTGTGTATTGTGATAAGAATTATATAAATGAGTTAAAGGAATAGAACACCCAAAAATGACAATTAGCTGAAAATGTACTCCTCCTTTGGGCCATCCAAGATGTAGATAAGTTTGTTTCTTCATCAGAACAGATTTGGAGGAATAGCATTCCATCACTTTCTCAACAATGGATGCTCTGCAGTGAATGGGTGCCATCAGAATGAGGGTCCGAACAGCTGATAAAAACATCACAATAATCCACACGACTCCAGTCCATCAATTAACATCATGTGAAGTCCATGTTTGTAAGAAACAAATTCATCCATCAGTAAATAATCCGTAATAACTCTTTCTCCAGTGAAGAAGTCCATCCTTTGTTGTCCTTAACTGGCATATTTGATTAGAACTGTTTTTGACTGTTAATCTTGTAAATAGTGCTTGATCAGACAAGACCCTTTTTGAATGGAGAGAGCAATATTATGGATAGAGGTATTTTAGCCATAAGCAACAGTTAATGGGGTTTTTTTTCTTTCAAACGTGCACCTTTTTACTTCACAAGGCATTAACTGATGGACTGGACTGGTGTGGATTACTTGTGGATTATTGTGATGTTTTTATCAGCTGTTTGGAGTCTCAATCTGACGGCACCCATTCACTGCAGAGCATCCATTGGTGAGCAAGTGATGTAATGCTGAATTTCTCCACATCTTTTCATATGAAGAAACAAACTCATCTACATCTTGGATGGCCTGAGAGTGAGTAGATTTTCACATTTAAATGAACTAAATTGAAAAATTAATTAGTACTAAATTTATTAGTCCAAAAGTCCAAAAATAGTCCAAAAAAATATATATTCCTTTACATTTAAAAGTTATTCTCTTATTGTGACTTCCAGGTCATCGTTTCAGTGCATTCAGCCAAGTATTTTATAAAATGTAGATAAAAATATTTAATATGTAAAACTTTCCTGTACAATTGGTTTCAGCAGTAGTTTATTTTTCTAAAACAGGACATTATGAAAGTAAGAGAATGAAGAACTAAAGGATGACAATTTTTGTTTTTGCAGGAATGAGGCATGGAGATATACGGGCAGCTTTGGCATCCCAGTTACCTTCCGAGATGTTCTCCTCCGTGGATTTAAGACAGGATTCGCAGCGTTTGCAGTGGCACTGGCAGTGGAGTATGCTTTCTTCCCTCCAAAGAAGTCAGAGCACTAATAGTGTGGCTAAAGCTCAGCTGAGCCAGTCGCTGCCGGACTCTGTGTTTGCTGCAGGTTTTAAGCCTGTTGGTGTCTATCCATGAAGGCATAAGCCCATGAAAGGCTTCCTAATACCTGTGTTCTTTCATCTTTATGATTCCCATGACTAGTATGTAAAAATAAATTAATTGAATTGGGCTGAGTATGTTTGTTGTATGTTCATTGGATATTGCATCATTAGAGTAAAATGCTATTCTTTATATAAGTATAAATGCCAGTGATTTGCATGTTACATTTTCTGAATATGAAAAGGGTTAACGTGGATGCAAATCTAATGTTCTGACTATGACGTCCTTAACGTCCTCGATAATGCACTGCTGTGTGCTTACAATGTATATCTATGTCTTTTTGCTTTGTTGTACACACTGAGGTACGAATCAAAGGGATTGTGGCATTGCACAGATGCTGGCAATTAGATTGGAAGGTTAATATTTAATTTAATGGGGAAATGTGTGTGTAAAATGCTACATTTTCACAGATCATGAATCATTTAGGTCATCTTTTAATCTGTTGACTTCTCTTCCAGCTAAACGGAAATAGCTGCCAGCAGAGGAACAGGTAACCAATAGATGATCAGCAAAAGGAGCTGGCTTATTAAACACAATCTTAATATACATCGTTTTACAGTTTTTCATATCCAGTAAGTGTTTGGTTGCAGTTTTATGTGATATGAAGTTTAGCTTGTAAATGTCAACAAATATAACCTTTAAGTATATTGGAACCAAATGCAGGCGTACTACAATTGCGAACTTTGTGTACAACTGTGTCAGATATTTTAAAGCACGATGTGCTATTTAAATGATCATCTAGGCAAAGATAAATTAGAATATGAAGAGATGTAGAGTTTGTTCACTCTCTCCACAATTTATGTAAATAAAAAAAGCGAATTTTAAAAATATACTACTTTGCGAATACCCAACGTAAATTTAGCAGCACGTATTTGAATGACAAAAGTTAGACGTACATTTTTGCGCCCACTTCCTCCTTTCTCCTTTCTCTTTCCATTTCGAGTAAGTTGTATCACCGTCATGGAATTCCTCTGAATTACCGCTATATTCACTCCAGAGCGGGTGCTCCGTTCAGTCAGAAGAACAGCTCTCTTGAGGTAAGGTTGACAGTTTTGTCTTTTTATTCGAGAATATTTTAAATTATTGAGTTAATCTCCACATAAAACACGTAGCAGTTTTTTGTAAGCATGCTCACAAAACTTTACCGCACTGTAGCTAATCATAGTTTCAGAATCACAACCATATATAGTAACATCATTTGTAACTATACGTTTTACGCTATAAATGCTACTAAAGGTATTGTTAATATAGCCTAGTAAAACTGTCATCAAAAATAAATGATGATAGAAAGTCTTAAATAATCTTAACCAGAAGATACGATATTTATTTAATACGATATATGATAGGCTATATAGTGCTATTTTGGCAGAAACGCTCGCTGTGTTTATTATTATTATTGGCGTTGTTGGGTTTATAGTAGACGGATATCGTCGTATTATGTCGATTGGTGTCATTTGAAGATACATACAAACGAAATATCCCAAAATTTACCCATACTGAGTCACATCCTGCTGTAATGCCTTGGCTTGTACATTTGCAAATGCTATTTAATTGTGAAAGTAAGTCTAGGATGAATTACCTGACTCACCATTTGTACATACTACATTACAAGAACTAAATTTAATACAAGAAAGCATAGGCTACTTTAAAACCCTACACTTTTGTAAATGAACCAAATACCCCAAGTAAGAGTGATTCTTCCTTTCATAATGGCAGTTTTTGTCCTTATCAGAGTCATTTTGGAGCACAATGTCGGGCCTGTACCACACTATCAGTCAGATCACTGATGAGCTCAGCACCGATGAATGCAAGCGGATCTCTTACCTGTGCGGCGCCCTTGATCTGGACACGTTCTCTACAGATCCCAGAGGTATGCTACAGTCTGTGCTGTGCCAGATGAATTACGTGTTTCTCATGGAGCTCATTCTGAAAATAAAACGCTATGATCTGCTGAGAGAAGTGCTGAGCACCAACAAGAGCACGGTTGAGGGGCTGCTAAAAAATGGCCATTCTGTATCAGAATACAGGTAATGCTCGCTCTGCGACTCTCCATTTATGCACAGTGTGGGAGTTTAAGAGAAGGTTTTAACCTGGACGTTGTGTTTTTAGAGTGCTGATGGCTGATGTTAGTGAGGACATGGACACAGAAAACCTGAAGTCATTGACATTCTTACTCCGAGGCACTTTACCAAAACACAAATTGGACAATGTCCAGGTATGATGTCCTGAAAGCTCACGTGTAGAACTGAAATGTTTCATGTCTGGAGCTGAAATGAGATTTTTAAACATATACTTGCAGAGTTTTTTAGACGTTGTAGTGGAGTTGGAGAAACTCGACCAGCTCTCCAGTGAGAAGATGGACTTGATTAAACACTGCCTGAGGTCCATCCATAGGGCCGATCTAGCTAAAAAGATCAGTCACTACCAGCAGACAGGTAAGAATTACCATGTTGTTATTGATGTTTTTGTAGCTGCAAGCATATAATACACTCCTGTTGTCTCATTCAGAGGGGTTTAGGCTACAGTATGTCATTAACATGATACAATCTCAAAAAAAGAAGTTACAAAAGCTGTCACTGGGATGTAGCTTTTGCATCATATTCACCCCTAAAGGGTGCGTTTTAGTAATTTAAAGGTACATAGTAGTACCCTTTGAAAAGGTACTGCCCCAGTGAAAGATTTGTGTCTTTTTTCTGAGTCAATTGTATCACTTCCGTATTAGGATGATGCAAAATCACATGCGACATCCGAACAGTCTGATTCAGTTCCTCTTTCCTACTTCTTCTTATTGGTAGTTCTTTCTGTTGCGTCATCACTATTAGGAAATGAACCTATAGGTATTTTTATGGGAAACTGAATCAGTTGATTTTTATAGGTTTCCTTTTTAAATAACTGAAAACCGCTTTTGCAGTGCTAATGACCAACCAAGGATCTTCACCTCCAGACAGACTGAAGTTCTGCACAATGCCACCGGTGAGATTTAATTTGGTTGCTTTGTCTAACAACATAGCACTTAAAATGTTTCCTATTTCAATCATCTTTACTTCAATGTGAGTGTTTGTGTCATTCACAGCCAAATAGCTCATTCAGTGTCTCATCAGCTTCCTGTAATGTCAGGCCAGTGTCCAAATTCTGTGGTGAGTTCATTCAAAAATGGACAGAATGAGGAAATACTCTACCAGTCAAACGTTTGGACAAACCTCTCTTTGTCTCTTTATTGTTATGTTTTTATCCCACAATTTCCAGTATTACTAAAGTCATCAAAACTAGAAAAAGCACATATGATGGGAAATATTAAGCGACCAAAAATCTTAATCTTAATCTTAATATTTTCACTACACTGTAGAAAAATAAACTGTTGAGAAAAGTTCAAAGCAACATTATTCATTCAGATTTTCAGAAAGTGACTGGCGGTAAAAAAAAAAAAAAAACCTTTAGGGGAATTCTGTTTTTCTAACATGGGTTTTTATGTACTTACAAGTAACTCAGTTTTCTTAGTATATGTGACTAATATGTATATTTGTCTAATATATGACAAATATACGACATATGTCTAATGTATATTTGACTAATATGTATTATCCTAAATATGTATATCATAACTTTTCAGAAAGTGACTGGCGGTAAAAAAAAAAAAAAAAACCTTTAGGGGAATTCTGTTTATCTAACATGGGTTTTTATGTACTTACAAGTAACTCAGTTTTCTTAGTATATGTGACTAATATGTATATTTGTCTAATATATGACAAATATACGACATATGTCTAATGTATATTTGACTAATATGTATTATCCTAAATATGTATATCATAACATTTGACTGGTAGAGTGCAGTATGTTCTGTGTAATTCTATCTATCTATCTATCTATCTATCTATCTCTTCTTTTCTTTTTATTAATTAATTAATTAATTTTTTTAGATAAACCGACCACAGTGAAGAAGAAACTACTTGGCACTAGCTCTTATTGTCAGGTAATTTAAATAAATACATATATTTTTAATGAAATGCATATCATGAATTTTCTAATGAATTTGAAATATGTTCGATATGCTTTTAAGATATACTGTATATCTGTTCAATACAAGGAGCACTGATGCTCAGCTAGTTCATTATGAAACTGTAGGGTTCTCTTAAAACAAAATGTTTCACTTCTTTCTTTGACCATATGGCCAAAATTAGAGTTTTGCATTTAGGGTATTATTTTGTTAATTCCAAGCGCTGTTTCAAGGCAAGTAATAACATTATTTCCTAGTAACACGTTATGGGTGCAGACTCCAAATATAAGTGAAACTGTTATTGTGGGTGAAAATGCCACTGTGGAAGATTGTTATCAAGTGACGAATGTGGCCAAACCAGTGACCTGTAACAGATCAGTGTGTCAAACTGACTTGTGTTGATTTGATCTCTTTGATCTCCAGCAGCAGGAGGAAGTGTACAGTATGCAGAGTGATCCCAGAGGAGTGTGTTTAATCATAGACTGTGTCGGCACTGAAGGAGGTGAGAAATCACTGATCTTATGTAGTTTACTAGGGATGTAACGATTCACTCAACTCACGATTCGATTCGATTCACGAACAAAATGAGATTTAAGACAAATTATAAATTAAATGTGTCCTTTTATTATTGCTTGGACAAAATACTGCACGTTTCTTTGTGAAATTGAAATATAACCATCTAAACTTTTCTAAAGACAGTAAGTTCCCCTCAGACATACATTCATATAAACTCCTACCCCTAAATGAATCGCGATTTGTTTAGCATCTCAACCGATTTGAATCGTCACATATTTAAATTGATTTTCAACCGGCTCGCGGTTAATCGTTACATCCCTATAGTTTACACTACCGTTCAAAAGTTTGGGGTTGGTAAGATTTTCTATTTGAATACATTTATAAAATGTAATTTATTCCTGTGATACAAAGCTGAATTTTCAGCATCATTACTCCAGTTTTTTGTGTCACAAGATCCTTCAGAAATCATTCTAATATGCTAATTAGCTGCTTATTTTTATTATCAGTGTTGAAAACAGTTGTGTTGCTTAATATTTTTGTAGAAACCATAATACTTTTTAGGATTATTTGATGAATAGATATTTCAAAAGAACAGCTTTGTTTAATTTAAATATAAATCTTATGTAACGTAAGTAAGTCTTTACTGTTACTTTTGATCAAATTAATGCATCCTTGCTGAATAAAAGTATTAATTTCTAAACAAACAAAAAAAAACATTGAATTGTACTGTGGTCATATTTTTCAGTATGTGTTAAATCAGTACTATCAACTTTTATCTAGTTGTTCATCCAAAAGCTGGTTTTGTATCGTTTCTTTTCCTAGCACAAACTTTTTTTTTTTGTAATGAAAAGTTTGGTTTAATCACCAAGACACAACAGAATGAGCCATTTCCATTTACTAACTGCAATGCTCAGCTAATTTAATAGCAGACTATTATTTAAGCAGAGTTTATTTTTATTTTTTAAACTGAGTTTGAAATCGAAAGTCAATTGAATGTAAATGTCTGTTTGGTGATTATTAGTACTAGTAGTCCCACTTAGTTGTGAAAGAAATCACATTACCCTCTAGTAATGGCTTCTCTTTTCCTTACAGATGAGCTGGAGCAGACATTTAAGGCCTTACACTTCCATGTGATCACGCACAAGCTGCTGAGTGTGAGAGACGTGCAGTCCACTCTGAGGGAAGTGGCTCATCAGCAGGGTCACTACAGAGCGTCTGCTTTTGTCTGCTGCATTATCAGCCGAAGCCGCTCTTCAGATCTGCTGGCCACTGACTCTCACGGTCCAGGACTGAGCCTGGACACTGTCAGACGCCTCTTCACCTCAGACTCCTGCCCGGGCCTGGCAGGCAAGCCTAAACTCTTCTTTATCCAGAGCTATGATGTGTCCGAGCCTCAGAGGTGTGCTGGGTGTATGGAGGGTGGAGAGCTGGAGACAGACGGGCCTGTGCTCTTATGCTGCAAGAGGACTGTCCCGGTGGATGCGGACATCTTCTGGAGTCACTGCTGGACTCGAGGAAAACAGCTGGAGGTGCCAAACCATCAGTCTGTGTACCTGAAAGCCTTGAGATCCTCCTTAACTGAGGGACAGAAAAGGTAAGACTAACCACTTTGAAAGATTGTAATTATTACGATTTTTTTTTTGTTTTGTTTTTTTCTCATGCTCACCAAGACAAAAAATATATTTAAAAAATACATATTTTAAAATGTCATTTATTCCTGTGATGCAAAGCTGAATTTCCAGCATCATTATTACTCCAGTCTTCAGTGTCACATGATCCTTCAGAAATCATTCTGATATGCTGATTTGGTGCTCAAGAAACATTTATTATTTTCAATGTTACAGACAGTTTTTGTTTTAAATAAATGCTGTACTTTTGAACTTATTTCATCAAAGAATCCTGAAAAATGTATCACAGTTTCCACAAAAATATTAAGCAGCACAACTTTTTTCAACACTGATAATAATAAGACATGTTTCTTGAACTACTGAATAATAATAAAATTATTCCAAACATTTTACTGTTATCATATAGTATAGAGAGCATACATTAGATTGCATATTTCTAAATCTCTATTGGCTGTTTTGGACCCAGAGACTGATTGATTGATTGATTGATTTTTATCTCTATTAAGCGTTATGTAAGTATTAATAATTGTATTTTTATTCTTTTCAGGAGGACTCATTTGGTGGACTTGCACATGGCGGTGAATCGTGCAGTATATGAACACAATCACAAATCTCCAGAATCCTCTTACTTTTTAAATCTCAGGCACACTCTCAGGAAGACAGTCTATTTGTCTTGATTCTGTCATGAACCCTTACGTTTAAGTGAAGGTAGATGATTATTCAAGAACATTTGATGTTTGAGTAGATGATCATCATAATGATGTATCTATGAATTGTATCAATTATGATTTGCAAAGTTTCAGTAAATAAATCTCAGGTTTTGTTATTGTAGTTTCCTATATTGTCCACATGTTGGCAGTGTGGTCCAGTGTTGGCAGTGAACTTCACCACCACGTGTTAAACTTGCTTTTAAAACATCGGAACTGATTGCCCTCAATAAAACCAAAATTGGTAAAAGAAAGTTTGAACAAAAGTCCCAAACACTATTAAACTATTCGAATACTGATAGCTTCAGACATCCAGTGTCTACAGTCACAGGAAACTGTATCACGCATCAAAATTACATTATAACCTAAAGGGAGACCTGGGACTTCATCTATGGAGATGCAAGTTTTAACAATGTTTATCATTCTATTCTGTTTAACATTATATTTTATATGTGTGTTTTTTCTCATAATGTGTGCTTATGTTTGTCATTCAATGAAATTGGTGCTATTTGTATACATCTTGAACACGTGTAAACATTTGACAAAGCAATGAATAACTACCAAACGTTACCAAAGTGATATAAAAAAAATCTTGTAACTTTATTTGACTTTTTTTTGTGCTTCCAACTTCTCCTTGCTATACTAGCAAAGATGTGCATTTTAAAAGAAACAAAAAAAGAAGTCAACCCTGTTACTTGTCATAACTGACATTAATTCCATTAAAAAACATCAAGATGCAAACTCCTCAAAGACAAGTATTGTCTTTTCTTATGGTTTAAATTTGACATTCAACCCTGTTACCTTGGTTTTGTCAGGAGCGGATTATTGAAAAGTGGATATTTGTATTATCAGCTTGTTCTTTCTAATAAAACCCATGTGTCATGACCTTGAGCCCAAGGTTGACTTAAATGAACTAAACTGCTCATCCTGTTACTGTCAACCCTGTTATCATAAACCCTGTTACTTCTTTTAGGGCGTAGCGGTATTTCACTGTTAAACTGTTTACATTTAACTTCAAGTGTCACAGTGCATGTTTATTAACATTTGACCCATGCTATAAATAGCTATACATTATTTGTCTGATAGAAAGCTTGATTTACTTCAATAAACACGTACAAACGGCAAAATACTTTGTTATACAGAGAAACGGCCGATTTAGTGTTAGTATAGCAAGTGCAGCGCACTGCCAGTGCATGTCACCGGTGTGTGTGCGTGTGTGTGTGTGTGTGTGTGTGTGTGAGACACTGACGCGCTGTTCCCAGCTGCTCTGCTGCAATGGCGATGGTGGCGCGCTGAAGAGCGGAGTTGGCCGAGTTTCCCTTTGTTTTACGAAGCATTCTTCAGTCATGCACGACCATCCAGCGCTAAATCCGGCTTGAAGAAGGGCGTGGATCTTACATTTTATCTGCGGTCCGAGCGGCTGGGCTGTAAGCAAACAGAAGCCTACATGCAACCGCCCCGATACTTCTCACATTTGCATGCGATAAGCGACCAGCACCCACCCGCCCCTCTCTTTCCAGCAGCTGATCTGAGCCACAACAAGCCCTCTGGCCGGTGAGGACCTGGAGCTGTCTGGCCCAGCTGGATCATTATGGCAGAGCGCAGTTCCACAGGATTACTGATGATGATGCTGGACCCGTCGCCGGCGATCGCGATGACTCTCCCGGCGGAGGTGCGCGAGAAGCTGGCGGAGCTCGAGCTGGAGCTCTCCGAGGGTGAGTCGCTGGTTTTCCATCTCCATGCCACATACCGGGTTTTAGAGATCAGGGTTGCATCAGATTTCCTATGAATAGGGTTCATGCATTATTATGGACGCGGGCTGTTGACATACCCTTATATACACACCTCTCCATATGCGCTCTGAAATATCTGATCTGTCATCGGTATGTTTTTACTGCAACCCTTCTGTACCTATATAATAGCGGTGATGATGATAGATGTAATGCAGGTTCAGTGCTGTGTCAGCAGTGCTTCAGATCAGAAAGAGCATTCAGACCCAATAAAAGCAATGCAATATAAAGGACAAGTAATACAGAAAATCACATGTTGGTGTAGCCTAATACAACTGCTTTTACTTTTGGCAAACAACAGAAACAGTTTGAGAATCATCCTATTGGTCATGTTGTGTGTGTTTGAAGGTGCTGGAATAAATGCAAAACTTTTAGATTCATACAATGATGACTTTCAGGTTGTAGAAACATGTATGCATGACATCTGGATTGTTCCAAGCGAACTGCTCAGTATTCAATCTGGCTATGGAAATTTCAGACAAGAACAACAGCATGCTTTGCATGTCATGTCTGTGCTGCAAATCTTCCCTAAGCAGGTCGTTTGCTGATAAGAATATTGATTAAACCTGTAGGTCCTCACATATTAAGAATTTTTATCAATATATTGACTCTACATATTTCCTGACATGGTGACAAAGTCAAGGATCCATTCCGATTACTTTTTTCTAACAAATCCCACAAGAGCTTGACTAGTAAAAAAAAAAAAATCAGATTTTTTAACTGTTATCATATAATAACAGATGTGCTGAACTGCAGTGGTAGTGCACCTTTTAAACTGGAGCATGTCTTCTGTGTAAATGCACAGCAGGAAGAGTTCAAACTGAACTAATTAGACCAACCGTGTGCTGTTTAATTGAGATCTTCCAGCACATCTATGAGGGAGGGGAATGTGCAAATTAGCCTATGATTTGATGACTGTTATTTTAATGAAATTCACAGTTACAGGGCTGTTTTTTAAATGATCATATTGTCAGAAACAATTATGGCCAGTACTCATCCACATGCTATTAAATCTCTGTTTAAACCTTTAAAAGCTTTGCTTTTATAGAGATTGTTTATGTATATTAATTCAGAGTCATTCATTGTAATTATTAGCTAATTATGCTGAGTAATTATGTCTTTATTGAGTATTATTGGAGAGTGGTAACAGAATGGCCAAAGGTTTCAGACGACCTGAGTTTGTTCTTGTGAAGAATTGTGGGAATATTCACTACCGTTTAGGGGTCAGTAAAGATTTTATTATTATTTTTTTTAATCATTTTTATTCAGTAAGGGTGCACTAAATTCTTCAAAAGTGACAGTAAAGACTTACATTGATACAAAAAATGCTGTTCTTTTGAACTTTCAATTCATTAAAAAAAAAAAATCCTGAAAAAAGTGTCACAGTTTTCATTAAATCGTTAAGCGGCACAACTGTTTCCAACATTGATAATAATAAGAAATGCTTCTTGAGCAGCAAATCAGCCTATCAGAATGATTTCTGAAGGATCATGTGACACTGAAGACTGGAGTAATAATGCTGAAAATTCAGCTTTGATCACAGCAATAAATTACATTTGTATAGTTATTTTCAATTGTAATAATATTTCACAATATTACAGTTTTCACTGTAAATAAATGCAGCCTTGGTGAGCATAAGAGACTTCTTTCAAAAATATTTAAAAATCTTACCGACCTCAAACTTTTAAATGGTAGTTTAGACATGAACAATGTATTAACCAGTTAACTGGCATAAATGTATGCAGTGCTCAAGTTCTGACCCACATTTTATTTGATTATCTCTGGGACGGCAGCACCAGATAGTTTCTTAGCAGACTGAGGGAAGATGTTGTGGTCTTTTAAAAGAAGACAGTGAATCCAAAATAGCAGCAGCTCATACTGCTGACATACTGTGTCACCACTGAAATCTCCATTTAGTCTAAGTCTACATTTCCTTATGTAAGTTGAATTTTTGCTTGGTTAAAAGTGTAGCATATAACACGAGCGAACAACTCAAACACAGCAGGATTGCAGAAAACAGCCGAACCCCTGTCCGCTTCCTGTTTGCGTGTGCATAACTTCCTGTCCTGCACACTGTCTGATAGCCATTGTTTTCCTTTGTCCTTTAATTGCTGACGTCACCAGGCCCAACTCTAAAAGACCCTCATAATCATTTTGTGCAGCAGGCTTCTTAATAGGATTTTTAAAAGTGAATTGATATTTTCTGATTTCAGTTAATTTCCCTGAAGATGAGGTTGATTCTGAATTGAATTTGGGTTGCAGTACTGCACCAGAGGTTCAAACATCATGTGGTACAAATTGTTCTCAACATTTTAGTTGAAATGAAGAGCAGAGTGATGTTAGGCAGAGGGATTTTTTTCAAGGACACTGCTTTAGTGTTATTCTTGGCTAAGGATGTTCAGAGATCTTAATGGAGAATCACACTTCAAATTGCAGTGCGGTTCAGGACTCGGTTAATCTGGCCCTGAGAAACCAGCCCTGAGGCTGTTTCTCTAGTCTTTTTGAGGTTTAAAAATCCATTGATGTAGTCCTGCTAATGATTTTGGATGACCGTGCAGGTGGATGAAGGAGTCACGTTAAATCGCACCGCATTGTTAGCTAAGTTCAGCCATAATAGATGTATAAGTCTCAAGGGAGGCTTCATGTTCCTGAGCTGAGTGTAACAGACAGGCGTATGATTAACTTTAGTCTAAATCATTCGCTTGTTTAACTGAAATGTTTTGCAGTGTATTGTCTATGTGATAGCGGCTTGAGTAGCACAATTGTTTAAATCAGCCCAAGTCATCTGTTGAATTGTGGGTTAGCGATTTGTATAGGAATGCACAGTATGTCAGTACTATGTTGTTATATTTGTTATATTGGGTATGAGACTGGATATTTAATTATACATGCTTATTTCCCATATATTTACATATAGAATAACTCTTTAAAGTTCTTTAAACATTTAAAATTTGTTTAATAAGTTGCAACGCAACTGTAATGTTCCCAGACCCAGTAGTACGGACATCGGTAAAACAGTCCATGTGACATCAGTGGCTCAACTTCAGTTTTGCGAAGCTACGAGAATACTTTTTGTGCGCAAAGAAAACAAAAATAACGACTTTATTCAACAATTCTTCTCCCCCGAGTCACTGTCTTCTGCCATTTTGGAGAGTATCACAACGCATACGCACGCTTTACCCTAAACATAAACAACGCTGATTATGCCGATTACGTTCATGTGCACGGTTTCCCGTTTTTGGGTACTCTCCAAAATGGCGGAAGACGTAACTCGGGGGAGAAGAATTGTTAAATAAATTATGTTTTTTTGCTTTGCGCACAAAAAGTATTCTCGTATTTTTGCAAAATTGAAGTTGAGCCACTGATGTCACATGGACTGTTTTATCGATGTCCTTACTACGTTTCTGGACCTGGAAACATTACAGTTGCACTGCTGTCTATGTAGGGTCAGAGAGCTCTCCGAATTAATCAAAAATATCTTAAGTTGTGTTCCGAAGATGAACGAAGGTCTTACAGATTTGGAACGACATGAGGGTGAGTAATTAATGACATAATTTTCATTTTGGGGTGAACTATCCCTTTAAATATAATCTTTAGCAAATCTCAAATTTAATATCCTTTTTTCAAACTGTACATTATAAACTTGTTGTCATTGCTTTTATTGTTTTATTTTTATTTAGATAAAATAATGTAGAATTTTAATATCTGCTATGTAACATTTACTGCATAGCTATAACATTAAAAAAATATATATACACTGAACAAAATTATAAACTCAATACTTTTGTTTTTGCCCCCATTTTTCATGAGCTGAACTCAAAGATCTAAGACTTTTTCTATGTACACAAAAGGCGTATTTCTCTCAAATATTGTTCAAAAATCTGTCTAAATCTGTGTTAGTGAGCACTTCTCCTTTGCCGAGATAAGATTACGGAAATAAAAATCCCATTCACTTTCACCTTAGGTGAAATAATTTTTTTTAATGATAATTTATAAAAGACAAACCTACTGTGAGCTACAATGTTGTTGTTGCTTTTAAATAATTATGTTTAACAACAGAAATACTGGTGAAAAACGGTCACCATGATTCAGCAATATATAGCAAAATATATGCTTGATGGGATTGTAGTTCTTTCACTTGTTAAAGGGGTCATATGATGCGATTTCAAGTTTTCCTTTCAAGTATACAGTCATGTATCTTTGTATTTTTGTCAGTTTTAAATACTTTTTTTCAAAGTTTGTAATGTTGTGATTCACCTCATAGCTGATTGCTTTGGCTTATAGCTTCTAACTTTTTAACACAAGACATTTTAAAAATGCCTAGGGGAAAAAGTTATGTAAAATACTTCCAAACCAAGGCCACTAAAAAAGTGTTTAGATGCTGTTACACACTATAGTGAAATCCTGTAGACCAGTAGCTGGAGTCCATGTTTGGTTTCTCCTTCAATTAAGTGCACTGATATCTGAGAATATTTTGTGGGTATTGCTAAATGAGATATCAATTGCAGTACCTCCTTTACACTTCTAAAACAAGCCCTTGTTTGTCCAATTTTAGTATAGTTTCTGATTGTCTAGAAAAACACAACTTCCCTGACACTTTTTTTTTTTTCACAGTATAGGGCTGTCACAGAGAAAGGTGTGATTTCAAGACACCTTTGTCAGGAAATCCAGACATTTAGCATGTGGTTTTCCAACAAAAAAGAGAAAAAAACCCTTACAGCAGCCTCAACTCAGAATTGAGCAGATATAATTGTTGGAGGGGCTCATCTCATCACCTTGAGGAGTTACATAGCATGTCCTGACATTCTCATAGGGTTTTCATGGGAAAGGTGCAGAGGCGTAAGGCTTTGATCGGGGAGCCATGCAGACATGCCGGGCTGTTGACCTCGATATGGATCAGCGCTGGAGAGATGGGGCGTAAATGA